AGATAAAAGAAAGTCTGCGTTTAAGTCTACCTAAAGATCCAGCAATCCACCCTTAGGCATATACCTGAAGGATACACATTCATACAAGGACATCTGTTCAGCTATGTTCATAGCAGCATTATTTGTAATAGGCAGAATCTGGGAGCAGCTGAGATGCCCTCAACTGAAGAACAGATAAAGAAAATGTGGTACATTTACACAATGGCATATTACTCAGCACAAAACAAAACAAAACAGAAAAATGAAATCTTGAAATTAAAAGACAAATGGATGGAACTAGAAGAAACCATTCTAAGTGAGGCACAAAAAACATGGTATATACTCACTCATATACAGATATTATACATAGATCAAAGGATTACCAGATTACAATGCATGCCTCCAGAGAAGCTAGGAAACAAGGAGGAATGTAAGAAAGACATACATTTTCCCTTGGTGAAGGGGAAAGGGACAAGAGACCCTGAACAAATTAGGAGCATGGGGGAGGGGAAGAGAGGTAGGAGAAAGAGGAGGGGAGAAGAGGAAGTGGGAGAAGAACCTGTAGGATCAGGAGGTGGAGTCCTGAGATAAAAATAGGAAAGCAAGAAAAGAGACACATTGATAGAAGGAGTAATTATAGGTTTAAAGAGAAACCTGGCACTAGAGAATTTTACAGAGATCTATACGCATGACCCCAACCATGATCCTAAGCAATTCTGGAGAGGCTACCTTAAATGTCCTTCCCCTATAATGAGAATGATGACTACCTTATAAGCCATCCTAGAGCCTTCATCCAGTAGCTGATGGAAGCAGAAGCAGATACCCACAGCTAAACACTGAGCCAAGTTCCTGGAATCCAGTTGTAGAGAGGGAGGAGTGACAAACACAGGGATCAGGACCATTCTTGGAAAACCCACAGAAAGAGATGACCTATTAAAGTGGGAACTCGTGGACCTCAGTCTGACAGCTGGGAACCAACAGAGGACAAACCAGGCCCCCTGAATGTGGGTGTCAGCTAGGAGAACTAGGCAGTCTATGGGGTCTCTGGCAGTGGAACCAGGATGTATCCTTAGTGCACGAATGGACTTCAGGAGCCCATTCCCCATGGAGGGATGCTCTCTTAGCCTAGATACATGGGGGAGGGCCTAGGTCATGTCCCAATTGATGTGACTGTGATGATCCCCCATGGAGGTCCCTGGGGGATGGGATGGGGGTGTCAGTAGGTCAGGATCATGCGAGGATGGGAGGGAGAGGGAACTGGGATTGATAATGTAAAATAAGATTGTTTCTAATATAAATAAAATTTATATAAAAAGAAAGGCTGTGTACCAATGCCGGGAGTCTGAACAGGAGATGCTATTTCCCAGAACCAGAGGCTTCTCAATTTTTAGCTCATGGTACCTGCTTTGTCTTTAACCAGAAAAGAGCTGATGAAAATTTTTCTCTTCATGTTAATGTTACTGAGACATTTTGCTACGATATGAATTACAATGCTATTTGTGATTTTATTAAACTCATCCTGATATTCCGATGTAATTTCTGCACCTTAAGATGATGTAGTTATTCGTTTTATGTAAGCTATAAATTTAATAAACTTTTTACCATGCAGCATAGAATACTTGATTTCCCAGGATAAGACAGTGGATGTCTTTGGCTTATTGTTCTGCCTGAGAAAAGGTGTCTTTGGAAATGCAGTAAATAGTTGAACAGTATTCATTTATATTAACTAATGTATTGCTTTTGTATAGTTCCAGAAACACAAAGGTGCCAACATTACTTGGATTTTGTGACCTTCACTTGATTTCTTTGAGCAAGTCATTTTTGGTTAAGATGGGAAGATTTACTTAGACCATTGTTTTAATAACTAATGTTTGTGTGTGTGTGTGTGTGTGTGTGTGTGTGTTACTGTCCCAAGTAATGCATAGGGGATGTAACTCTTTCTAGTGCTTATCTATATTTATATTCCGCAACACAAAGCAAGCAATGACAGAAATTCAGGTGAAAAACAGCTTCATGTTTTTTGAGATTTTCACTTTGTACATATTTAAAATTTTTTTAGAGTTTCACGCATTTGTATTGTATTTTTTATTATTTCCATTGCTCCCTCCTCCACGACAAACATTGGTGTCCTTTCTGCATACTCTTTCAGTTTCATGACCCTTTCTTCTGAATTTACTATTATCTCATACATATTGAATATAACCTACTGATTACATGTAGAGTAACTTGCATGTGTTTAGGACTGAACTTTTGGGATGGAATAAGGTTATTATCCCGGGGCTTGTCACTGGAGAAAACTGATTCACCCAGTCTTGGTAGTTAGTGACTTCATCTCTTCATCTCTCAAGATGTGGCCTTCTGAAATTCCTTCAATCCACACTGACAATATCACAACTTGTTTTCATATTATACAGGTCTGTTTAGGAAATGTTATTTTTGAGGTTACAGGGACATAGCATTGCTGTCATAACTAGAAAAAAAACATCTTTCAGCAGGCAGGCTTCTCCTCTGGCTCAAAAATATAAAACCTCAAATACCAAATGTTATATCAAAATAAAACTGGGCTACAAATTACATTTTTGTTTCTTTATACATGTCCATATACCTTATTATCCATATGTGTCCTTCATGTATGTAGTGGCTGTCATGGCTAGAAGAGGGAGCTGAATCTCGGGGAACTGAAATGATAGTTCCTTGTGGCCACCTAAACAGGTTCTCTGTTGCAAATGTGATAGTTGCAATTTCTGGCAGTCGCTTGGTTGTCTTTCAGCCCTCAATGAATTGCATTCTTACCCAATGGTCCAGTATGATTAATGAGAAAATGAAGGTTATAAGTCAAGAATAATTGCACCTATATACATTAAATGCAGCTGGATAGACTCACAGTTTGTCTCTATCCCTTGATGACCATCAGTTTGAGAAAATAAAAGAAATCTGGTATGAGGGTAGAGCTGAGCTCCATGATTCTCTAAGTTAATTAATGGTCAGTCCAATATGTTGCACACCAAGGAAGTAAAACAAGTGGAGAATGCTTTCGTCCCTATAGTTCATAAACTAATGATAGATCTGCAAACAATTTTTTTTATTTTATGTGCCTAATACTAATTTTTAACATTGGATCCTTGGAGTTCCATATGAAATATCACATAAATTTGAACTATATACAAAATGCTGCTTTCAACTTGTGTTATTTACAGGCCATCTATTCCTAAGTATTGGATAGTATTTGTTAAATCCAGCGTCTCATCTCGAGTATATGCATTTATTTTTTTTAATTTCTAAAATAAATAAAATTTAATAACCATTAGGTGTTAGCTAGAGAAAGGTAAGAGAAGAACAAAACTGGTTTCCCTCAATCAGACAATAACATTTAAAACATTTTTTAAAGAATGTTTGGAATACAGAAGCATAAATAATACGAGAAAGGGAGATTTCACTAATTATAACTTGTAATTACCTTCAGGCTAACATTTATCCTACAGATGAAAGCAATTTTATTGTTGTTGTTAATAAAACTGTCCAACATTGTTAAGGAGGCTTTATTGTTACCTAAATGAATTTCTTATAATGATTCTGTTTCATCATGTAATGAGGATGGGACTTAAGACTAACACCCCAAAATTAAATAATTAATTACATTCAGCTTCAATTACAATTACTAATTGATACAAAGTCACCAACTTACCTCATTCCTACAGGTAATGAATTTCATAACTGAGTTATTGAATAAGTGGTTAGACCATTTTAGGGAAGTAGTTCTTATACACTGAATAATTAGGCAAATTTTGCCTTGCTAAGGACCTCAAGAAAATGGCACCACAGTGTTCTAGAGATAAAATTCCCCCATAATGTATTTGCTTATAGTTTTCAGTTTGATTATGAAGGTTCTTTGATAGTTAACTCTAACAAAAGTCATAAATGTGATTTATCTCTTTAGTCATTCTAAATCCTTCTCTTTTCTATTTCCCCACAATTGTAAGGTAAAAGATGTGACTGGAACTGTTTTATTTGTTTGTTTGTTTGTTTAATGTTGTCAATAATGGCTGCCATTTAGTAGAATCTCACTTGTGATATAGGTTACTGTGAAAGGAAGACAAATTATAAAGTAGAATTTTGATTAGCCTAATATTTCAAGCAATAACAGGATAGATTATTAAATATGATGGGCAAATTGGATTGGCCTTTGTATACATTCTTGGATTTTCAGGGCATGGAAATATCTGTGAGAATATTTATTCAAATGAAGTAGTTGATCTCAGAGCATTTAATTCACAGAGTTATGATCTGTGAAAAAGGAATTTCAAAAATAAATACCTTTTTGAAGCTACCAGGAACTTGTGACCCCCATTAACTTAAAGCAAACAAATAAACAAACAAAAACCAAAAAACGAGAAAAAATTGATCTACTTGTACTAGCTATGGTTTTTGTTTTCCTCCAGAAGCCAAAGTTATATTAGGTAGAGTCAGGATAGCTCCAATAGCTTGTAAAATGATCAACATTGTCAACCAAACCTATATAGTTACTTATTAAACTCTTCCCTGTGTGTCCTTTTCAAACATTCTCCCTAGCTCACTGCAGACATGTAATACCTGGGGTAGGGGAAAATATTCATGTAATTGGCTAGATTAAGACAGCTTTGGGCTTCAGCTCAGAAATTTGAAGTGTGTGTGCAAAGCAGCTAATCTACCTGATGAGAACTGAATGTCAGCTGTGGCATCGACTGTCACAGACACTCCACAGTTCACACATACATGACAAATGTTAGTGAGTATGGCTGGAATTACTGAAACAAGCTTTCTTTTTCATTAAATTTATATTTTTAAATTTCATTTTACAATCCAAACAAAGTTTTCCCTCCCACCCCTCCTCCCGCCCACCCCTCATTTCCTCCAAAGCTCACCCCTATATCCACTCCTCCCAAAGGGAATGTGCTCCACGGGAAGTCAAGAAAGCCTGGCCCATTAAGGTGAGGCAGGACCAAGCCCCCCCCCGCATTAAGGCTGACCTTGGCCACCCACCGCAGGGAATGGGATCCCCCAAGTTAACTCATGCACCGGGAATAGATCCTGGTCCTACTGCCAGAGGCCCCTCAGATAGTGCAAGCTTCACAACTGTCCCCCACGTGCAGAGGTCCTAGTTCGGTCCCATGGAGGTTCCACAGCTGTAGGTCTAGGATCCGCGAGTTTCCACGAACTCAGTTCAGTTGTCTCTGTGGATTTCCCCTTCATGATCTTGACCTCCGTTGCTCTTCTTCTCTCTTCCCACTCCTCAGTTGCATTCTGGGAGCTTCTCCTGGTGCTTGGCTCTGGATCTCTGCATCTGCTTTTATCAATTACTGGATGAAGGCTCCATGATGCTAATTAGGGTAGTCACTAATCTGATCACAGGGGAAGGCCAGTTCAGGCACTCTCTCCACTATTGCTATGAGTGTTAGCTGGGGTCATCCTTGTGGATTCTCGGGAATTTCCCTAGCACCAGGTTTCTCTCTCACTCCATAGTGGCTTCCTCTATCAAGATATCTCTTTCCTTGCTCTCCTTCTCTGTTCCACCCACCCCCTTGACCATCCTGTTACCTCATGTTCTCATCCCCTGAATGTCCCAGGTTTACCCCCTTCCCAAGGCTATCTGTGTGTCTCACTTAGGGTCCTCCTTGTCACCTAGTTTCTCTGGAGCTGTGGATTATAGATAGTCTGGTTATCCTTTGCTTTAGATGTAAAGAACAGGAAACGAATTTTTAAAAAAGAATTCCATGTGTAAATAAACATATCCATAAAGGCTATTTTTATCATAAAGCTGATACTTAAATTTGGAAGCCACAGACACAAAATCAATTAAAATTGATGTCCTTCTAATAGCACCTAAGGAGAAAATTAAACACCATCCCAGCCACAAATCCTTCATCTCCAAGAATGACCTACATGCAATTGTTGCTATACATTGTTGCTACAGACCAAGAGTAAATCCAGATACTTGTATTCTGCTAAAAGAATGTAGCAGGAGACCCACAGCCAGAAAATAGGCAGAGTGGAGATACTTGTAATACTCAGCCCTAAAAGGGATATAACTATCTAATTGATCTGTTCTGGGCTAAAAGAAAACAATATTTGAATCCATTCCATATGTTGTCCTTCTTTACCTAAATAACTTCACCATAAGTTAATGTACTCAATATGTTTATTCCAGGTCTTTGAGGTGGCCTGATACCTGGAGATAGTGTTTTTATGACTGTAGGTTTTAATCTAACATATGTTGAATTGTTTGACTTAATTATAGAATCCCACAAGCATCCTTAACTGATCACTGCAGACAATGGAATATCATTAGATTGGAGAAAGAGAAGCACACACACACAAAAATGCCTTCCAGGTCAAAGATCTTATAGGAGTTTTAGGAATGATTTTGAAGTTTGTGGTGAATAGAAATGAATTAATCATAGTCTTTAAAAATAAATGAATTTTCAAGCACACATAATTTCTGTTTAGAGACAATTTTGCTTGAGAAAATGGTTACTTAATTCTAATTAAACTGACCAAATTGCTAGCCCCCTAGGATATAGAACTTTGAAAAACATAGACTAAAATGGAAAAACACTTGCAGTGGCACCCGAATTTTAGAATGTGACATAAACAGAAATGGAAGAATGGTGAATATGTGTTAGCTGAAGAAGACAAAGACGGAGGTATGTTGCCAAGCGGTAGTGGCACACGTCTGTAAACTCAGAAGGCAGAGGCAGGCAGACCTCTGTGAGTTTAAGACCAGTCTGGTCTACAAGAGCTAGTTACGGGACAGCCTCCAAAGCCATAGAGAAACCCTGTCTCGAAAAACAAAGATAGAGGGGTGTTGACTCCATGAATGATACTGTATAACAGGTTTATACCTACTAGACATACAGGAGGAACCACCTCCTTCGGGGCTCTGTATTTCCTGGGGGCTTGTCAGGCTGGATCTTACCAATGCAATCTGTAGTGCAGTCATTTCTGAATGGTGGGACTTAATTGATATGTATAATTTAAAGATCTCTGTGTTGTGTTTCTGTCCGTATGGAAAAGAGTCACTTGTGACCCCAGGGCTCTAACCTCTGAGACCATTTTTAACTTCAATGATCACAGGCTCTCTTCTCAGCAAGGAACATGTAGTCTTGAGGAAACTGAAGCGTGGATCGACATTTCTGCTAGCCTTCTGGCTGCCTCATGCTGCAGGTAAGTTACAGATGTAAGCCTTAGTTTAAAGATCATTTGAGAACCCAACTATAAGAGAAGATTGAAAATCAACACAGTGAATGCTTAAGATTTAAACACAGTGAATGTTTACATATATATAGATGAAATAATTAGTGGAGGGATTAGTACATTATATATTAACTCAAATTTGATTTGTACCCCTGTAAATTTTAATAATCTGCCGACTTTATAGAAAAATGCAAATATAACACAGCTTTCTTATTGACATATGATCAATTAGTAAATTGTTTCTCGCATGCCTAAGTCAAATTAAATAACTATTGCCAATCACCTCTTTGCATTGATTGGAATAATCTAGAAAGCACAGCACTCTGAATTTACCCATCATGGCCACTGGATGCCAGTATTACGTTGTGCCTGTTCATTAGTTTCAGCTTGTGATTTCTTTTGCATACTTCAAAATGCAGACACTGGCCTTTATAAAGAAAAACTTCAAGCAAAAATACAAAGTTATATCATCTTAGAAAGCATTTATGTTTAGTCAATCCAGCATTTAAGTCCATTTTTAGCCTGCCAAAATGTGTTGCCTAGCTCTGAAGCAGAATTATGTAGGCTTCTCTTTGTTTAATATAAGTCTATTCATCTTTTGCACAATACTGTCGGATTCCACGGAATAATTACACAGTTGTCTATGTTTCTTGTTACTACCTTTTGTTACAACTTTGCTAAGATAATTGCAAAATTGTTAAACTGGGTCCTGGGTATGAGTCAAAGGGCTTGAAAATTATTGAATTCAATAACACCAGACTTAAAACATATATGCCACAACGTTTTAAATATCCTACAAATATTCACTAATGTATGGATATGAGATCTTTAAAATATAATATAAACAGTGTTTAATATATGATCACAGTTTAATCAATTTGTATTTAGAAACTGATAATTAAATATTAATTTAATATTAAATTTAGTTAAGTTTCTTAAGTTGGAATTCTAGGAACTGATGGCAGTACATCCAGAGATTTCTACTGTAGTGAAGATGTTTACTCTTCCTCGTTTTATCAATGACTTTTTTTTTCTCCAAGTGATATTAAACCTGACAAGGTGGAGTGCATCTGAACTAACAATACCCTGGAGGCTAAGGCAGAAGAAATATGAAGTCGGAGGCCAGCTTGTACACAAAAGTTAGATGCTGAATCAAATTCAGAAAGAGAGAGAGAGAGAAAAGAGATGTGAGATTCACACAGCAAGGATGGGGAGGGCAAGAAGAAGACTGAAACATAAAATCTAAAGAACCACTATGAACAATGAACTGGATTAGACCACTGTCCGCTGCTTCTGCTCCTTGAGTGTAGTTATAGTAACAGACCTGGATTCATGAGAACTGTGGAGTGGAGTGATTAGTTTTCATCACAATTCTGGCTTATGGGAGGTATAGAGAGAACCAGTGTTTGCCAAGACTCCCTGGCTGTATCACAAGGTGTTGGAGAAGAAAGGGGAATGGCCCTATACAAAGGGGCCAAGGGTGTGTGATGAGCTCTCAAAATGACCACCCAATCAACTCCTGTTGCTTGGACACCAGTAATTTCCAGGAATGAAGTCCTTTATCTAATTACTTCTGCTTTGCATGGATCTCTAGATGCTTACAAACTTCAGGACCAGAACCTTCAGGAGAACTAAATGGTCCACACCAGAGAACCCTGTGATTAACTACACCGAAATTAAACTTTCAAGAATTTATGATGTGCACAGGGTATAATTGGTTTCACTTAAGATATTTCAGACAAAATTATCCTTACCAGTTCTCTGAAATACTAGCTTTAAATTATTTTATCTATATATCGTCTTTTCTTAAATGTTTACACAATATACTTTATTGGTTACAGATGCCTACTGTAGAAGATGAGCATATATATTCCTATATTTATATATGATATGTAGTTACAACTGTTGAACATATTAAAATCTTTTAAATTACAGAATTCAACATAATTTTAAACAAAACATTATGCTTATTGATTATATGTCTACTACACTATATTTATTTATTTTACATGTTAGTTTGAAGGACCATGCATACAACAGTACATATATGGAGGTCAGAAGATACCTTGTCAAAATGTTCTCTCTCCTTCCACTATATGGCTCTTGGGGAATAAGCTAAAGTAATCAGGTTGGATCCAACACCGTATGACTCCCCTTTTAAGGTTTAAACTTTGAACAGTCATTCAGAAATTTAATTTAAAGTGTATCCATGAGGGAATCGTTATACTGTCCATAAGTTCCTCAATATTTTAAGTGTGAAGATATAATAATTATAGTGATTAGAGAAAAACAATAACATTTATTACATGAAAATGCTAAATTATTTATATTTCCTTCTTTGACCAGTTTCATGTAGTATATAAGAAGATCCTTCATGTGGAAAATGTATGCAAATCATTCTGTGGGTGGACATCCCTCAGCCCTAGATGAACAGACAATGTATTAAATTTCCATATTGTATCTACTCAAGTAGGGAGAAATTACAGTTCAAATAAGATACGATTAAATTGAATTTAGTATCTTTCAGATTATTGAGATCATTCACTATTTTACAATTTTATTTGATCTATCAAATAACATCAACTTGAAAATAATTTGATTTTAATCCTGTTATACTTGAACCTTCATCAATTCCCATTATAAATATTTAATAGAAACTGCAAATTTCTATAATGGAAGAAATAGTTATTTTAATATTCATCAGGTATTTTTCTGTTTGTACAGCCAGATCACATATATTAACTTATTGCTTAAAATTTTATGGCTGTAACTTTTCTTCTATGAAATTTTGAACCTTACAAACCAAATTACTAAGGTGTCCAACTACTTTCATATTAGTCCTGAAAGCAGAACAAAAACAACCTAACTTTGTAAATTGTTCTTCTCCATTTATGAACTGCTTATTTAAAGAAAAACATCTGTTTATAGATGCAAAGCAAAATTAACTAAAGATTATTAATGCCATTTTCTACGTCTACATTTCCACATTTGCTTAAATGATAAACAGGAATAAATGGTATTTAGTGGCAACAAAAGCTGACTCCTGGGGAACTTTTCAAGTTCCCTAACTTAGCAACTCTTTTGAGAATCAGCTGCAACTCTGAAAAAAAATTGGCGTGGAATAATAAGTATATATCATGAAGAAGGTGTTTACCATCTTGCAAAGGACAAGATGTCTCCCCATTTTAGTTGACTCTGTGTAGACTATAAGACAGGCTCTGGCCAGGCGGTGGTGGCACACGCGTTTAATCCCAGCACTTGGGAGGCAGAGGCCGGCAGATCTCTGTGAGTTCGAGGCTGGGCTGGACCGACAGCCTCCAAAACAATACAGAGAAACCCTGTCTCATAAAAACAAAAAAAAAAAAAAAGACAAGCTCTGGCCATTTCAAAGTAATGCCATTTTAAAGATCAAGATATATATATTCATAGCAAGTATATATACAAAGAAGAGTAATCAGACTTGGCAATTTGTGTAGTGTCCATTTCTTTACATAAAGTGTATAACATGTTATAATTGGCTACTACTCGTTTTTAAATGAAAATCATATATGGTAATAACTTTATGTCTTTAAATTCTAGTTATTGAACCTCTTGTATTTTCTTTAACAGATGTCAGTTTGTATATAAGAGCAGATGCTACTGTGGTATTTTAAATATTCACTTGCATATGAGAATTGTAATAATAGCTACATTTAAAGGATGATTATGTTAGGCATATTTGAGTCTTGTAATATTAGCCGCAGCAAGAATGGGACAAAAGGATCAGGAATTCAAGGTCATTCTTGGTTATATATGGAATTTTAGGACAGCCTGAGCTACTTTAAAAACTGTTCACAATTTCAACGTTTATCACCAGGACCTTTCATTTGGTCCACAAAATAAAATAATTCATTAATCACTTGCATGTATCTAATGATACTCATAAATTTAAGTAAATGTTATCTCTACCTTCAGATATCCAGATATTCAATGGAGCGTTAGCAAGATAAATGAAGGTCAGAGCTCAAGGGAATAGAGGAGGAGCAGAATTTAAGTTAAGAAGAAAACTATTTTATTGAACATGGCAATCAGCACTTTTGGAGATTCTTATTCAGCACATATACCTGGCCAGATCTCCTGCAGTCTGAAATAGAATGCAATCTCTATAACTCATATTCATAAAAGAATATGTTCTATTTTAGAAACCAAGAGTAGCCGATTTCTCCTCTCTTATCAGTCCTCTCTTCTTCGTTCACACACCCCACCCCCTTCCTATGATCTCTGTATGTAGCCTTGGCCAGCCTGAAACTCACAAAGATCCTCTACCTCTGGCTCTTTGGTGCTGGAATTATAGTTCTGTGCCACTATACTAAGCTTGGCATGTCTATTTCTCTAGTGAACTTATCCAAATTAAAACTGATGGCTCAGTCTTCTACCACACTGACTTAACTTCAAGCAATAACTTAAGTGGGAACCCTCACTACAGGCAAGCAGTAGAAAGTGTGGGTTTCTTACAAACCTTGTTTGAGCCCATAACTTACCCAAAAAGATCTCATCATACTAGATGTTGTATTATAGCTGAAAAATTAAAAGTAGATTCAAATTGAGAGACACATGAAGTAAAACCATTAGAATTTCTAGACCATAAAGTTCTAGAATCCTTAAGAAAGCATTCCCATTCTGACAGTAATGTATGTCAATACTCAATACAATCCACTCACCACAGGCTCCACACTTGATCTGCTCAAGTGCACATGACTGAACTGTCAGAAACAATAAAATCAGTTTCCTCGCAAAGTTTTGTTTGAGGTATTTTGGTCAGAATATGGTAATTAGATAGATAATAAAGCATGAAGTCCACTATAAGTGACAAAAATATGATTCTTCCACAGGAATGGGATTTCTCAAGTAATTGAAGCGGAGATAATGAGGAAAGTCTGTTGAAGACAAGCGGAGGAGAAGAGTGTGAAAAGAAAGAAGGAAGGGGAGAAAGAGGAAGTCTAAGAATCGACAAGGTAGACTTGCTAATCTGGAGGCACGTGGAAGATTTTGTGTTGTAGCAGTCTTCTGGCAGGACCTCCTTTTCTTGATGATAAAGCACTCTCTCTATATAAACTATCTACCATTATGTGTGACTCACTGTGGAAGAATACTTCCTTTCTTCAAAGTCCTCATTCCACAAATTCTAACTTCATCATTTCTGGAAAAACATCCAAAATCATCCAAATTGGTTTTATAAAATACTTTATAACTCGGGGTCAAGGCAGATTGACCCATAAAGGTAATTTGGTAAGAGACTTACTCACAAAAATTAGGTACAATGGTCAGTGAAGTCCTTCATGAACATCTTCTAATTTGATTGTTGTAATTAACATAGTAACCCATTGCTCAGTATTTTTGTCTTCTAAAATATTTTAAGTGCAATAGCAATAAAAAGGTGGTGCTTTAGAGTCTCCTAATTTATTTATTTTTAGTTAGCTTCCTAAATACCCAAGGGCCCAAAGCAGACAAAGACTGTTGTATCTAATTCAATAGGAATAAAAGGAAGAGAATCTACAGGTAGTGTGTCATAGGTGGTCCAAAACAGAGTTGCTACCCTTTCCAATACTTAATTCTTGTTTCAGATCCTCAATTACTGCAATGCTAGACCAAAATGATAGTTAGTAACTTGGACCATATGGAAAGAAAGGCAGAACCCTGGACTGGTAAGATAATGGTTTATAGAGAAAAGCATAAAATTAAAAGATGAAATCCTGCATTAGAATTTATTTCTCCAGAAGAAAGAAAACCTGTAACACAGACCCGGATTCTTTCATGATCATAGAGAAGCTGTCTAAGGCGTGAACATTTGTAGATCCCAGTTTTCTCTAGGTTTGACTGTGAGTGTAAAGCTGATAATTGATTGCCTATCTCTCGTAAACTTTTGTATCCACTTGCTTATTTTGTTATCTAAATTGTGGAAATACTAATCCCCATAGTACACAAGTCATTGTAATGAATCTACAGGGACAAAGCTGTGTCAATTACATCTATAAGTCTTATGTCGTAAGTCCAAGAATGATTAATTTGTTATCTTTCTGTTCCAATCATGCAAGATGATAGAATTCATTTGACAAGACTGGAATTCAAGAAATTATCAAAAAATGTTACAATTTGTTCTCAGACATCTACACATCCACACCTTGGTATGCATGTGTATAGGCATGCATGTACACACACATTCTGATAAAAATGAAATTTGAAAAAATATTCTTTTCAGCCGGGCGGTGGTGGCGCACACCTTTAATCCCAGCACTCGGGAGGCAGAGGCAGGCAGATATCTGTGAGTTCGACACTGGGCTGGCCGACAGCCTCGAAAACAATACAGAGAAACCCTGTCTCATAAAAACCAAATATATATATATATATATATATTATTCTTTTCAACTCATCTAGCTAAGTTATGGGTATTTTTTGGTATCATTTCCTCTTTTACTAGGAAGACAGCATTAAACTTCCAAAACTATAAAATACCGATCATTTTAGTTATGGTTGGTGAGTTAACCACATAATACAAAGAGCTGCCAGTATTATCAGAGTGCTCTCTGGGTACTAGAATTGGGACAAATATTCAAATTGTATTCCAGTACAAGATGTCTCCTATATTTTTCACTGTATTCTGTCATGGGAATTCCTCCATTTGGAAAGGTAAATATACAATTGTAAAAGAAAAATGTAATCAATAAAGCATGCATATATAGTATAAACGTAGGAAGTTAATTCATAGGAACATTCCTAATTGTAGAGATTATTTAAATTCCTTTTTTTTGAAACTTGAAATCAGAACCATAGAAACAGAAGAGAATGAGAGAGGAAGATAGACAACTAGAGTGAGCAAGCAAGCAAGAATGACCAGGAAGCAGGCTCTCTCTGTTACTGACAGTGCCATAAGTAGGGCTCAGCATCCTAGAACCAAGGGCATCAACATTGATTTTTCTCTGCTTCATGGAACTAGAATGCTTTCTGGCAGAAACTGTGGATCCTGACCTTAGAAGAGAAGATGCACTTCGTAGTATGCTTGTACAATTCTTATACTTATGCCAAGAAAGGTGATGGAGTAGCCAGTACACTTAAGGCAAAGAGAAGAGAGTGACAGCTAGAAACTTTATTTGAGATTGAAGATGTGTAGAGTGTAAGCATCTCCTGCTACTCTCTTTACTTTTATCCCCACCATCCATATTCAGGACAGACTTATGTAAATGTGGAGTTTGCATAGAGCCAATCTGCACATCAAAAAGAGTAACAGGTGTCACACAGCAATGAAATAGGCTGCTATACTAAACACAAAATAGTGCCTTATGGATTATCTGGGATCTGCTGATCTCTGCCACCCTAAATGAGCACATATTCCTTTATGTTTCTTGTTAAATGTTAAGATCTTTTGCTTCAGTGTTAATTTGATTACAAATTAATCTCATTGCGTTGTGTGAGTAATTAAACTCAAAGTGTAGTGTTTCTATAACTAAAAAGGCTTCAAGACATGCCTAATAAGGGAAAGTAGCTTTGTTTTCCATTGTTTTATTTCGAATCCTTTGTTTTGAAAGTTAACAGTAATAGGACTATATGGCTGTAACAATTTCCTCTTATTAAATTCTTTCAATTTTGAACCTGGGTATTAGAATGCATTTCTTTAAAGGCATCATTTATGCAGTTATAAAACTAACTGGATTATAGAAATAAAACATTTAAACACTACAAATAAACTTCATATGATATCAATAAATTAAACTGACCAAGAAACAAATTGGCCTACAAATAGAAATCAAGGCTTAATTGAAATAAAAGTAACTTTAAACAGTAAAAACATAATCAAAATGATATTCAAATTTCATCAAACTACTATAAAATACCATCCAAATGAGACTGCATTAAAATTTATAGGAAATGGTGGAAGCATGATCTTTAAAATTACCAGAGTTTCATTTAAGAAATGGCAATTCCTGAAAGAAATTATGATGACAATGAATAACCCATCCTGAGATTGTACATGACTGTATTATTATCTGTCTTAGTTACTTTTCTATTGCTGTGATGAAACATAATGGCTAAGGTAAGTGAAAAAAAGAAAGCATTTAATCTGGGCTTACCCTTTCAGAGACTTACAGTCCACAGTTTCAGAATGAAGTAACCTCTTAGAGCTTGCATCTTTATCAACAACCATGTAGCAGAGAGAGAGACAAAAAAAAACTCCCATGGAAAGGCATAGAAATTTTGAATTCTCAAAGTCTGTCCTCAGTGACACACCTATTCCAATAAGGCAACACCTCCTACTTCTTCCAAACAGATATTCAAATATATAAGCCCTTATAATATTATCATTCAAACCAACATATTGTCTTAGAGAAGAAATGAAGTAATCTTGGGCATGTATGTTCAACTCACTAGTTTATGGCCATTCTCTTTTGTGAAGCTTTGTACTACACACTATGTGTCCTTTGTGTAGGCGTGGAATAAATCCTGTCTCCTTCAAGACTAAGTCAGTCTGTTTTTAAAGAGTGATTTGTGCTGAAAAATCCTTTTGAAGTCCCTCTAAAAGCACATTTTATAAATTTCCCTGACTTCTGAGTCACAAGAAGACTGTGTAGTGAAGTTTTTTGTTTGTATCATATCTGGTGCTTCCTGATACCACAGTATTTTGGTAGGCATAATAGTTTCTAGTTTATGTTAATTATATATTCATTGTTAACATTCTGGTTATTTAAAAAAAACGCTATGCTGCTTTGAATTGGCATTCTTGTAGGGTAGCATGAAAATGGGTTTCAAAGCAGGGTAGGGAAGACAGTTTGAGAAATCAAGCATTGACACAGTGGGTTGTCAACTAGATCCAGAAAACTTGCAGAGATCTTGTTTTCTGACCTTCTCTTTTGATAAAAAGCTGGAAAGAATCAAAAGGAATTTGGAGTGATGAATCTCCAGTTGATATTATTAGTTGAAATTATAATTTGGATTGAAAAACATGCACAGTAAAATAAAATTCCAACAAAATCAGACATATTTATGCCAAATAATGTAACTCATTAGGGGCTTACCTTATTATTCTACTAATTTACCAGTTATGAGAATATTAGAATACTCTTCTCTGTATTATGAACTTTTTGAAGACAGATATCCTACTTTCTCTCTGTTTAAAAACATTATGTCTGTCTCAATGTGCACTATGGCAACCAAACAAATGCAAGGTAGAAAAATATCATATTAAGTATTAATTTAATTAAAAGTAAATATTCCATTCACTTTTGTTTTCAAAGCCTTCATTTGGAGGCAAAATAAGCTTGAATGACCATACTGGCAGCATGTTTGGTACCTCAAAAATGCCAAATGATTGTTCATCATTTAAGTATAGAACTCTGGAAAATGATGGGGGAGATGCCTTTTCTGATACATCTCTGATGAGAAGCCAAAGGTTTGCTGAGTGGAGGGTTGTTCATGGAACAGTTTAAGACAAATATCCATGCTTCAGGAAACAGACCTCTCATTGTACAAATCCTAACGCAGCCATTATTGTCCATGTTTAATGCATAGTTGTTGTGATGGGAGTTGACTATGCCACTAAAATAGAAAAACCAGCTGACTAGCAATGATCTGGC